TAACAGTGTCTTATTTAAGATTTCTTTTATCTTTGCCATGATGACAGCACATTATCATAGTGAACATGTACGACATTGTATTCATGAGCACTTATAAATACAGTAAATAATTGTTTATTATTTAAACTTTTGATATGTGTTGATAAAGACAGACATTTTTATGACATTTTTTGATAATACCATATGTGAAATAAAAAATATACGATAAATTTCTCATAAATTACTTATGTAACTGTAAACTTAAAGACATAAATAAACACTCTCACACACAAGTGAGTATATATATACACACATACATACATATATATATATATATACATACATATATATATATATATATATATATATATATATATATGTATATTTGCTCAAAAATACAAACTAAATATTAATCTAAATATAAATCTCTTGTTACTGAGAGTTTTGATTTAGTACTTTTAGTTTCAAGTTACTTTAGTAATTTATGAGAAGATTATCGTATATTTTTTATTTCACATATTGTATTATCTAAAAATGTCATAAAAAATGTCTGTCTTTATCAACACATATCAAAAGTTTAAATAATAAACAATTATTTACTGTATTTTGAAGTGCTCATGAATACAATGTCATACATGTTCATTATGATAATGTGCTGTCATCATGGCAAAGATAAAAGAAATCATAATTAAGACACTGTTATGATTAGAAGTTGAAAAAAAAATCTCTCCGCTAAACAGAACTTGTGTAAATCAAATTGAACACGAGGGCTAATTCAGTGTCTGTGTGCAGGACTGATGGAGGTGTGTGGCGAGCCTCTGATCCGGGCGGCTCCTGAACCCTTGCGGGACGAGCGCATCCAGACCGCAGAACTGCTCTGTACTGATCTGGACCTGTCTGTCTCTCTCACCCCCGAGCGGCCAGCAGACAGACGCCGGCGACAGGTTCGGTCCTGTGAAATATTTAAACTCACCGCAGTCAAGTTCAAACAGATCCAAAGTTAAACCCGTTTTACAGGCTGACAAATTCTGTGTGTCCACTAGATGGTGCTATCATGCACTTCTATGAGAGGTTTAATAAACACAGTTGTGTGTCAGCAGTGTGTGAATATAACTATATTATAATGATAAACAGGAATGAATTGTATTTGTTCTAATCAGACTTGATAAAGGCAGTCTGCAGAAACACTGTGATTGACATTCTCCCTTTGTACGTGTCATCAGAGGGGGAAAGCCCCGCCCACTAGTGCCCATCTCTCCATCTCATTAGCATAAACAGCAGGCCTGAGTGAGAAGCAGCCGTCTGTCAATATGCCATCAGAGTGTTTGAGCTGCTGAAGATAATGTCAGCGTAGACTAAGAGGATTATAGATGTGGAGTTTTAGATGAAGCACAAATGAACAGACCATAGACTGACATGAAGCCCACAATCACACTGAAGCACGCATGCACACCTGACCAGCACTTTTCAATCTGTCGCTATGCTGACACACAGGCATATGTAGCTCCGCCCTCTTCTGAAAAGAGCTCAATCTCGTTTGAATTTAAAGTGACAGTCACCAAAACGCCATAATTAGGGTCAAAGCCTGAAAGTGTCAGATTCAGAGAGGTAGAAAGCGTTATCTGTGTGCTATTTTCAGCTCAGACTTCACACACACGCTCTAGAGACAGCAGAGATGCATTTTACAGCTTGTAAAAAGAGCTATGATAGGTCACCTTTAATTAATATGACATACACACCACAATTACTCTGGATAAGCCATATGCATTTGTTTTAATGTTATAGCAGACTTGCTAGCTTTTAACCCCTGTCCAAGGGGAGACATAAAAAACACAACAATTAAAATTACAGTACATAAAAAATTTAAATATGAGTCGGCGCCAATAGCCTAGTGGTTAGAGCGTCAACACATAGCACCGAGGTGCTTGCAGCGACCCGAGTTCGATTCCCGTCTCAAGGCCCTTTGCTGATCCTTCCCATCTCTGCTCCTCACACTTTCCTGTGTCTATATCTCCAATGTCCGATCAATAAATGTGAAAACCCCTAAAAAATAAATAAATAAAAATACGTTTGACTGAATATACATTTTTGGGTGAACTAGCCCTTTAAGAGATTCTTGACAGTGTTATTTTGTTCCATTGAGGAAAACAGTACTGATCAGTTATGAGGTTTTGGCCTTTCATAACATCCAAAATAGGGTAGAAGAGTAGCTCAGTGGTTAGCACTGTGGCCTCACAGCAAGAACGTCGCTGATTCGAGTCCCAGCTAGGGTGGAGTTTGCATCTTCTCCTCGTGTTGGCGTGGGTTTCCTCCGGTTTCTCCCACAGTCCAAACACATGCGCTATAGGGGAATTGATTAACTAAATTGGCTGTAGTGTGTGTATGAGTGTGTATGGATGTTTCCCAGTACTGGGTTGTGACTGGAAGGGCATCCACTATGTAAAACATATGCTGGAATAGTTGGTGGTTCATTCCACTGTGGTGACCACTGATTATTAAAGGGATTAAGCTGAAGGAACATGAATGAATGAACTATCGTACACTGAAAAAAATATTCATAGATGAGTAAATAAAGATAAATTAAAGATAAGGATAAATAAATTCTGTGTTATTTACTTAATATTTTACACTAAGTGGTTGTAAACAATTTATTTGGGCTTAATTTAAACAAACAAATTAAGTTGAACAGCATTAAATTTAATTTGTTTGTTTAAATTCAACACAAATAAATAGTTTGCAACAGTTCTGCATGCAACTTTTTTCAATGTATATTTAGTACCTGGATCTGCTCTGAATTAATCAGTTTTACTCCTTAAATGAAGTTTAAGTTGCTTTGTCTGTCAGATGCATTAATGTGAACATATTTGTACCATTGCGTGTGTTTCAGGTGCGTTTTAATGTGGATCCGGTGCTCATCACAGTGAACCCAGAACCCAGAAATAATCAACCCACAGCCCGGAAACCTCCGAACAAAGACGAGCATGGTTTGTGGGATATTACGATCACGACTGCTGCGTGATACTGGGAAAATATGCAATAGTCATTCTTGCAATAAAACATTTTCCTAAAAAAGAAGTATTTATTTATGTAATGATCCTACTCAAATAAACAGGTATCAGATGTTTTCCTGATCTATTTAAATTTAGTTCAGGCTAAAAATGCATTATTGTTCTCATTAGGAATAAATAACTAAGAAATGAACATCAGCTGAGATTAAGTAGTTTTCATGGTGAGTTTAGTTCAGGGGTTCCCAAACTTTTCAGCCCGCGACCCCCAAAATAACAATGCCAGTGACTCGCGACCCCCAATAACCTCTGAGGTGATTAAAAATACAGAAACCTTGCATGCAATGACGCAGACACACCAACTAAATTTGTGTCAGTGCTTTAAATGTGCCAGACAGTATAACCTAATGTTATAAAATCAAAATGCATCTGACGCTATTGCTGCCTTTAATATAATGTAATTACCCAAGGGGCGCAATCCAATAGAACTAGTAACTATAAGCTACTATAGTAACTATATAGTATATAGAAACTGTAAACGACTATTTTTATTTTCAGTATAGTTATGGATAAAATATGTTAATTCTTATGGTTTAATAAAAATAAATAGATTTTTGGAAATCACCAGGCGACCCCCCTTCATTGCCCCGCGACCCCTCGGGGGGTCCCGCCCCCTACTTTGAGAACCACTGGTTTAGTTCACCTAACTAATGTTTACTATTAAAGCATTGTTTACCACAGCCTTATAAATAGTCACAGAGTTGACAATTGATAACTATTAAGATAACCAATTAATCCATGCTTGTTTCGCTATTTTGAACACTACTGCAAATATGTTGTGAATTTTCTTAAGAAGCACTCTAAAAGTTTAAATAATGAATAGTTATTGATGGTATTTTTTAGTGCCTACAATATTAATATTGCACGTTCTTTAATGGGATATTGAATGTGTGCACGTCTACCTGAAACACAAAATACCATTCAGTATATGCAACACACACGACAAAAACACACAGTCTCTCACTATTGCCAATTTGAAAGTGAAAGTAACATGTTTGTTTTATCTTTGTTTTTTAATTGATGTCTTTTGGCGATTTAATGGAATTGTAGCGATCGTGATTGTCTAAAACAATACAAGAATTAAATAAATAGCAACAAGTAGATAGTTATTTAATAATCGTGACAGGTGTAGGTTCACCTTTGAGTCACTCTAGCCAATATCAGAACAGCACCCACTGAGGAGGCGGGGATTAAGATAATAAGGCCCCATCTGATCAAACTACACAGTGTATATAAATATGCAACTCAAAGAACTTGGCATATAAATGTAATATGAATTAAATATTAAATATTCAAAAAATTAAATATGATTTATGGCAACCCTCTGCAATACAGCTATTGCATTATTTCATTATTAACTTAGTGAAGCCTTTAAATGTCACTAAGCTGTATAGAAGTGTCTTGAAGAATATCTAGTCTAATATTATTTACTTTAAATTATAAATATAAATTTATATTATTCACTGTCATCATGACAAAGATAAAAGTGTGTGTGTGTGTGTGTGTGTGTGTGTTTGTGTGTGTATATATATATATATATATATATATATATATATATATATATACACACTATTGCTTATGTACTATTATTAGGATGATAATTTCCCAATAAAATTGCACCATATATTTGTTCTATGTGTTTATTTTGAATGAAAATAACATCATGGTGTAAAATTGTCCTAATACTAATAGATTTTATGAGAGTCAGTAGGAGTAAACATGTCATGAATTATCAGCGGGTGTGTCTGAAAACTGACATAATTTTTTGTCACATTGAGTAGATTCAGAAGTATTGACTCTGTGTGATTCACCTTCACATGAATCAGTAATATGAGTTACATGTATTTGACACTAGCACAGCTATTAGATATTTTCCTGATCTATTTAAATTTAATTCAGGCAGAAACATGTTAACTAAGAATAAAGAAAAAAAATTAACTAAGAAATAAACATCAGCTGAGATTATTAATAATTTTTGTAGTTTTAATGATGAGTTTAGTTTATTTAGCTAATGTTAACTATTGGAGCAATATTACCATAGCCTTATAAATAGTCAAAGAGTTGTGAAATAAGTGATAACTGAAAACTATTAAGATATTAATTTACCACTAACCTATTAAAAATATTCTCCTAATAATAATAGATTTTGTGAAATTCAGTAGGAGTAAACTTATCATGAATTATCAAGAGGTGTGTCTGATTATTTTTAGTCTTCAGAAATATTCAGAAATATATCATCTGTGTGATTCATCTCGGCTTGAATCAGTAATATGAATCCACATCTGTTCATATTTAGGTGTTGAAACGGATCGGGAGCAGAGCAGAGAGTGTGACGGACAGCAGACACATGAGGCGGAGCTAAACACCACCCTGGCACTGAGGGCGGAGCTTGAGGAGGAGGCGGAGCAAACCTTTGATGCTGAGAAAGCAGTTCGGGAGAAATTACAGAGTTCAACACTCACAAAGAACCACGTCAACAGCAAAGCAGCAGAAGGTGAGGCCGAGGCGAATGACTGTCAGAGGCACTCGTTTAAGTAAAGTTAAAAATAATTTATAAATATGAATAATTTAATGAAAATTTAAAGATTAAGGTGACACAGTGGTGCAGTAGGTAGCACAGCAAGAATGTCGCTGGTTTGAGTGTCGCCTGGGTCAATTGGCATTTCTGTGTGGAGTTTGCATGTTCTCCCCATGTTGGCATGGGTTTACTCTGGGTGCTCCGGTTTCCCCTAGAGTCCAAACACATGTGCTATAGGGGAATTGAATAAGCTAAATTGGCCATAGCGTATGTGTGTGAATGCAGGGGTGTATGGGTGTTTCCCATGTGTTAATTTGTGGCTGGAAGTGCATCTGCCATTTAAAACATATACTGGATTAGTTGGTGGTTCATTCCGCTGTGGTGAACCCTGATTAATAAAGGGACTAAGCTAATAATAAAATAAATGAATGTAAAGAATTATTCACTTTGTTTTGAAATGCGTATGATCATACCAATCTCTTGCATGTTCATTATTATAATGTTTTGTATTATTGAATATCAGCAGGTGTCTAATGACGCATCACAACACCACGATCTGCAAAACATCTCAACACATGACACCCAGTGGAGCTGAAATGCTTCAGGGTTTTTCTGTTTTGTCGTTTATTTTCCTCCTTGTTTTCTGCAGGTCTGAATTTCCCTCGCTCTCAGCAGCTGTACCGGGCCTTAGTCAGCGTCAGCCTATCACGCGATCAGCTCATCAGCCAAGCACTCCAGGATAGGCCAGCGTTGGCCCCGCCTACCGCCAGCCAGAACAATAAGGTCAGAGTTCAGTCGGTGCCAGTAATGCAGTTTTCAGTTGTTGGAGATGTAAATAAACGGAGCTATTTCACATAACTGTGATCCTGCTTTCAGCGGTCATCACTATCTTAAACTTCTTGAAAGTTTTTAATATCTTGCAGGGCTCAACAATAAGGACTGCCCGCTGGCCCGGGGCCAGTGTGCAAGACGCTCGGGACAGTATACAGAATGGTTACTGGCCCGATAGGGGCCAGTGCTGCTTTGTCACTAAAGTTTAATTTGGCTGCGACTGTTTGTCAATTGCGTGCTTTCATGCCCAAACGTTTGTTTCAGAACTTGTTTGCCCAGTAAGCGCGATTCGTGCGGCTAATATGATTATTATGTTGATGGATCAAGCAAGAACAAGAAGCGAAATGCATTTTAAATTAAGATTTACAAATAAATGAATAATAAAAATACGGACAGTATTATAGACTGATGTAATGAGGCAGCTTATAAAACTAGGAATTTTGGTGGATTTTAAACAAACAAAAAACATAAAATTGTCTACTAAATAATTAAACTAAACCACACATTAAACAATTCACTTTAATTAATCTAATCAGTATTGTATTTAAATTAAATCATTTTTAAATTGTCAGTTGTATTTAAAGAAAAGTTATGCTGAATAACTAAATGGCTAACTTCTTTTTTTAGTGGGGCCAGAGAAAATTTTGGCAGGGCAAGTAAAAATCTGAACCACTCGCCCGATCGGGCCAGTAGAAAAAAATCCCTAGCGTTGAACCCTGTCTTGATTATTATACATTTTTTGCAGCTTTTTATAGTTTACATAGAGATAATTTGTGCTAATAAAAAGGTGTATTTTAAAAAATAGTGAAAACACCGGAGTTTTTCCTTGTATTATTTGAGGAAATAAGAATATTATCATAAAAAAATCACATTAATCTTGTAGAACTGCACTCATCTTTACTCTGAAATATTCAGCTTTATTACTCTCTCTTGATAAAAAATTGGGTGTCTTGAGGTGTGCCATGGGCGGAGCTACTGATTCAACACTGTGCAAGTACTACATTGTGTCATTAACCATGTGATGCATTCTAAGGGGCTGTTCACACAGAATTGTTGCATCCCAATTCACATTCTTATGCTGCGTTCACACCAGACGCGGAACGCGCGACAAGTGCGAGTGATTTACATGTTAAGTCAATGCAAACGCACGAATAGACATCCTGCGGTGCGATACGCGCGAATGGCGCGGTGCGAATGACGCAAATTGCGCGAATGGCGCAGGGCGAATCGCCAACTTATCCAGCAAGTTTTTACGCAGCGGATGCCCTTCCAGCCGCAACCCATCTCTGGGAAATATTGTTATTAATATTGCTTAAAATGATTTGATTGGCCTTGTTACATAACTAAAAACAGGATGTGAATTATTATAATTTTTTTGCAGCACTAGTTACTAAAGTTGGGTTAATAGACGATGCCATCATCCATCGCTGATGGCCGCTAGACATCACGATGCTGAGCCGGCATTGCGTTCCCCCTCCCCGCCCCCATCACAGCAGCAACCCGCTCATGAAAAACACTCACTCAGGCCTCGTTTACACTAATATGGCTTGGTTTTATGTTTATGGGTAAAACAAAGACCTTGCGGGTCAGGTAGTTGAAAGAGTAGGCTACAAATAATTAATCTGTTGTGAATTAATTTTCTATTCAGCTTAGTCCCTTCATTAGGGGTCGCCACAGCGGAAGGAACCGCCAACTTATCCAGCACATGTTTTACGCAGCTGATGCTCTTCCAGCTGCAACCCATCACTGGGAAACACCCATACACATTCATTCACACACATACACTATGGACAATTTTAGCTTACCCAATTCACCTGTATCACTTGTGGGGGAAATTGGAGCAGCCAGAAGAAACCCACACCAACATGGGGAGAACATGCATAATCGGTTGTTCATAAATAATTAATTTACTGCCACTTATGACGACGATGCTATCGTCCATCATCACAATGTTTCACATTAGATATTGTACGATGCCAAATTGGTCGACATCACCTAACCCTACTAGTTACGATACACACATCAAATACAATTAATACGTTTACCCATAGAAACTGGTTATATTCACACACCGCTGCTACACAACTGTGTTTTAACCCCTTATTAAAGTGATTTTTGCATAATAATTTTATGAAATGCATGTTTTATTTTGCAAAATAGTTCCCCTTTAATGCATTTATTGTGTGTGTAGTTCTCGTCTCCACCACCAGAGGGCCCTGATATACTGCAGTTTTACAGTCCTGACAAGATGCTCAGAGAGACTCCACTGTTGCCAGGCGACCACATCCCTTTGCCACGCCCCCGGCCTGTACCTAGACCCGCCCACACAACCTTTCACCTACATCGCCTGCACAAGCTGTGGGAATCATGAACTTGTGAGTGTGTGTGTGTGTGTGTGTGTGTGTGTGTGTGTGTGTGGAAAGGACAATGTCTCTTCTGATTGATTGATATTTGTGTGGGTGTGTGTGTGTTTTGTGAGATTTAATGTGCATTACTGTATCGTTTTCAGTCTAATGTGAATTTAATATAAAAGCAATAAAGCGTTTGATTAAGTATTAGTTTGGTATTGAGTGAATGTTTAAACACACACACACACACACTCGGTACAAGGCGTTCATCGGGTCTGTCTCAAAAACAATCAATCATGGAATGGACAGAAAAACATCTGATTTATTTCCTCTTTAAATGTTTTTGCAGTTCAAACAAGAGCGCCTAAAAATTAAGATCATCAATTCCATGACTGGACGGCATGTTAGTGTTAATAATTATACATAATACTACAGTTAACATCACTACAAAACTTATTTAGCTGTGCTGCTTTAGTAAACAGCAACTAGAGCTCTATTAAAGCATTTGTTAGCATACATCTGTACTAATGCTTCATTTGGTGTACTCATTAACTAGCATATTAAATTAAAAAATGAATATTCATATTTTATTTAAATTTGTTACATAACATTTTTTAAATATTCATATTTAATTTAAATTTGTTACCATATACTTTTTTAATTTAAATATTCATATTGAATTTAAATTAGTTACAATAGTGTTTTTATTTAAATATTCATATTTAATTTAAATTTGTTACCATATACTTTTTATATAAATATTCATATTTAATTTAAATTTGTAACTTCTTATTTTTTTTTTAAATATTCATATTTAATTTAAATTTGTTACCATATAATTTTTTATTTAAATATTCATATTTAATATAAATTTGTTACCATGTATTTTTTTTTAATTTAAATATTCATATTTAAATTTGTTACCATATACTATTTTATTTAAATATTCATATTTAATTTAAATTTGTTACCATATACTTTTTTTTATTTAAATATTCATATTTAGTTTAAATTTATTACCATATAATTTTTATTTAAATATTTGTATTTAATTTAATTTTGTTACCATTAATTTTTTTATATTTATATTTAATTGAATTTTTTTACCATACAATTTTTATTTAAATATTTACATTTAATTTAAATTTCTTACCATATAGTTTTTATTTAAATATTTATATTTAATTTTAATTTGTTATCATATAATTTTTAATTTAAATATGCATATTTAATTCAAATTGGTTACCATATACTTTTTTATTTAAATATTTATATTTAATTGAAATTTGTTACCTTGTAATTTTTTATTTAAATATTCATATTTAATTGAAATTTGCTACCATATAATTTTTATTTAAATATTCATATTTAATTCAAATTTGTTACCATATAATTTTCATTTAAATATTCATATTTAATTCAAATTTTTACCATATAATTTTAAATTTAAATATTCATATTTAATTCAAATTTGTTACCATATAATTTTTTATTTAAATATTTATATTTAATTAAAATTTGTTACCATATAATTTTCTTATTTAAATATTCATATTTAATTAAAATTTGTTACCATATAATTTTTAATTTAAATATTCATATTTAATTCAAATTTGTTACCATATAATTTTTTATTTAAATATTTATATTTAATTAAAATTTGTTACCATATAATTTTCTTATTAAAATATTCATATTTAATTCAAATTTGTTACCATATAATTTTTAATTTAAATATTCATATTTAAGTAAAATTTGTTACCATATAATTTTTTATTTAAATATTTATATTAAATTGAAATTTGTTACCATATAATTTTTATTTAAATATTCATATTTAATTCAAATTTGTTACCATATAATTTTTAATTTAAATATTCATATTTAAGTAAAATTTGTTACCATATAATTTTTTATTTAAATATTTATATTAAATTGAAATTTGTTACCATATAATTTTTATTTAAATATTCATATTTAATTCAAATTTGTTACCATATACTTTTTTAATTTAAATATTTATATTTAGTTTAAATTTGTTACCATATCATTTTCATTTAAATATTCTAGTTTAATTTAATTTGTTACCATATACTTTTTTCTAATAAATGTTTATATTTAATTTAAAATTGTTACCATATAATTTTTCATTTAAATATTTTAGTTTAATTACAATTTTTTAGCATATTTAACATTAACAACTGATAATAAAGATATTAAAACTAACAACTAAATAGTTGATTGTTTCTTAATGTTGGTCAATGCATTAATGAAGTCTGATCTGTCCTGTTATTTATACTGTACACGCAAATTAAGATCAGCGTTTAAATGTGTTTTTGTGGTGCTACTGTGAAGCAAATTAGTGTTTTTTTTTTCATGATAATGTTGTTAAATGTCATTAAATAGTCAGAAATTGTAAATGGATTTATAGATTTTCATTAGTTTCAGTTTTGCAGTGGTAAATCTGCTGCATTTCATGAAGATGAATGTGTGAAAGCTGATTTATTTAACTGAATATGTGCTTTATATCAATGTAAAGTAAATGTTTGTTTATATTGAAGTGAAGTATTTACCAATGCTGCCATTTTTTATGTTGGAAGGGTTTATCAGCAACACTGAGATCTTATAGCTACGACTATTGATGATTATTGACTCTTTGAGGAATTGTTATTGTTCCTTATTTGGAGAAATTCATGTCTGAATGGAGCAGATCCTGTGTGCGTGCGTGCGTGCGTGTGTGTGTGTGTGCGTGCGTGCATGTGTGTGTGTGCGCGTGTATGAGTGTGTGCTTATAGAGCATGTGTGTACATAAAGTTTGGGTGTGAGTATGACTGTATTTACGAATGAGTGTGTGTTTGAGTATGTAAGAATATAGTGTGTGTATGTCTGTGTTAATGTGTGTGTTTGAAAAAGTTTGTATGAGTGTGTGCATAGTTTATGTGTGTATATGTTTTTGTGTGTGTGTCTGTGTGTATGAGTGAGTGCCTGTTTGCATGTAGTGTGTATAAGTGTGTGCGCTTATAGTGTGTGTGTGTGTAAGCGCATATTGTGTGTGTGCTTATAGTGTGTGTGTATGAGTAAATGTTTGCATATAGTGTGTATGTGTGTGTGAGCTTATAGTGTGTGTGTGAGTGCATATTGTGCGTGCGCATAGTTTGTATGTGTGTATATGTTTACATAAAACGTGTGCACTTATAGTGTGTGTGTGTGTGAGTGTATGAGTGGGTTTGTATTTGCATACAGTGTGTGTCTGTGTGAGTGTGTCTGTCTCTGTGCGTGTATGTCTGAGTGTTGTGTGTTTGGGGTTTGAGTGTATGTACTGTGTGTGTATGCGTGAGTGTAAAGTGTGTGCCTGTGTTTGCGTTTTTGTGTGTGTGTGTGTGTGTGTGTGTGATTGAGTGAGTTCGATCTCTTCCTCTTTTCCTGAAGTGTCACTGGTCTCCAGCTGTGTGTGTGTGTGTGTGTGTGTGTGTGTGTGTGTGTGTGTGTGTGTGTGTGTGTGTGTGTGTGTGTGTGTGTGTGTGCGTGTGTGTCTGTCTCTCTCACACACATAGAATGTTCAGTCCTGCTCTCCGTCTGCTGGTTCTGAAGGCTGCGCTCTGAGCTGGTCTCCAGGTCATGGATTACCCAGAATCCTCCGGCTGGTGTGAGGACTGTGGGAACTGGTCTGAATGGGAGCACTGGGATCAGTCAGTGTTCAGCGAGTGTGAGCTGCTGGTGGTGACGCTGCTGTGTGCGCCGCTGCTGCTGCTCGGCATCATGGGAAACGCCCTGACCATCATGGTGGTGTGGCGACGCCCACAGATGAGGAGCACCACGTACCTGTACCTGAGCAGCATGGCGGTGTCAGACGTGCTCATCCTGCTGCTCATGCCCCTCGACCTCTACAAGGTACTGACCCATCTCTTACTGATCACGTCTTCATTTATTACCCCTTGTGTGCTGTTGGGTCGTTTTTATCCACTCTGGGCTGATTCTGAGGCTTCATTTGGCCACAGCTTTCTCTGTGCTTCAGCAAATGTGAGGATTTTTGCTGATGAATCTTATTTTGACTCATACTTTGGGAAAATGCTTTGAAAATGTTCAAAAACTCGACACACTCTGGGTAAACTGACTCCCCTTTGGTGATGTTGGGGCTGTTTTTAACCCATTGACTTCTAAATATCTGGATGGACCTTCAGCTGGTGAATAATGTTGGGAGGGATTTTGTTCTTAATTTTTCGAAACTTTGAAAAACTTTACCTGTCCCTGACTGAAATGTGTTTGTGTCTGTGAGTTTGCATGCGTGCATGTGTGTGTGTTTGGGTGCATGCATTTGTGTTTATGTGTGTTTGCATGCATTTGTGTGTGTCCGTTTGTTAGTGCATTTGTGAATTTGCACGTGGCATGCATGCATATGTGTGTGCGTGTGTTTGCGTGCAATTGTGTTTGTGCATGTGTGTGTGTTTGCAGGTGTGCATTTGCGTGTGTGTGTGTGTGTGTGCGTGCATGTATTTGTGTGTGCATGCATTTATGTGCATTTGTGTGTGTGTTCGTTTGTATGTGCATTTGTGTGTGCATGTGTTTGTTCGTGCATGCAATTGGGCATGCATTTGTGTGTTCATTTGTGTATTTGTGTGTGCATGCATTTGTGTGTGCATGTGTGCGCTTGTGCATACTTTTGTGTGCATGCATGCATTTCTGTGCACTTGCGAGCATGCGTTTGAATGAGTGTTTGTGCATGCATGCGTTTGGGCGTGTGTGCATGCATTTGTTTGCGTGTGCGTGCGTTCGTGTGTGCGTGCATGCATTTAGGCATGTGTGCATGCATTTATGTGTTCATTTGTGTGTGTGTGGGTGTGTGTGCATGCATTTGTGCGTGCATGCGTTTGTGCGCATTTTTGTGTGTTCGTTTGTATGTGCATTTGTGTGTGCATGTGTGCGCTTGTGCATGCTTTTGTGTGCATGCATGCATTTGTGTACACTTGAGAGCGTGCGTTTGAATGAGTGTTTGTGTGTGCATACGTTTGGGCGAGTGTGCATGCATTTGTTTGCTCATGCTTGCGTGCGTGCGTTTGTGTGTGCGTGCATACATTTGGCCGTGTGTGCATGCATTTGTGTGTGTGTGCATGTCTGCATTAGTGTGTACTTTTCCGGATGCATGTGTTTGTGCATGCATTTGTGAATGTGTGCGTTTATGTGTGCGCTCGTGTGTGTGTGTGTGTG